TACATTGCATTTGTTGGCAAAAATTGTTATTAAGAAATTGTTTTTCTTAAAACAATTTTTGGCAATGCATATATCTTTGATATTTGTCTGAGCCATTCATTTCTCAAACAGTTGTGGCTGTATTGATTAAAGGCGGGGCCAGGGGTTGTGAAGGGAATTCAAACTAGTGAGAGGAGCGTTGCTGCATTTCATTTCCATGCCCCGAAGGTTTCCGTTGCAAAAAAATGTTTGGAATTTTGTGTTCCAATCTTTGTTTTTGCTGCGCGTTTTGATTGGATTGTGTTGTGATGCACTCGGAAAAATCAATCCTTGGAAAACGTGATGTTGTTTGTTGAGGAAACATGCAATATTAATCCCAAACAATGATCCCTGATTCAATGAAATGAGGACCCTCAAAGAAAGTCATGTGAAAATTCTGGGCAAACGTTGTTTAGTGATGTTTAGTGTACAATAACTGGGCTTTGGTCTTATTGAAAAATCCTGCAGTGAACCATGGTTTGTCCCCTGAAAAAAATGGTGTCACGATGGAAAAATCTCTGCGGTCCCGGTGATTGAATTTCTTCAAAACATCTACAAATCATTGGTGAATTTTTGTGAGACTGGAAGTTTTTGTGGGTTTATCTGTTTATCATTTGAAGATATCCACGCAATAAAAAGACAAAACTGACAAAACCAATCGGCAAATCGGAGTTGGATCTGTGTCTGTATGGTTGGACCTACGGTTGGACCTTGAGTGATTTAACCACACAAGGTTGTTGTGGGCCACCTGACTAGTCAGGTTGAGTCCAAAAAACTGGGGTTTAACGGTTAGAAGTAAAACCGACTCACAATATGGTGGCTGTAGTTTGAAGGAAATGTCATCCAAAAATCGCTACATTTTATTGAGTTGGAGGGGTATCTCAGGATTTGTTTTGGAATTCCCAATCAGGGTCACTGTTGATTCATCTGAACCTTTAAAAACAGTTTTGCGCAATGTTTATTTAGGGAATTTCTATACACAAAGCGGTTTTAGTGTATTCGTTAGGGTTTTACTGGACTATTATAACCCATAGGGATACCTCGGGATATCCGTGTAGCAAGAAGTGCAGATCTAACATCACCCACAAAGTTCACCACCCAGAGGTGACTGATATGACAGATGCTGCAACTAGGCTTATTGCTTAAACGGGGTGACTGTACATATGATATTTTATGTATGATGGATGATACATGATGTATGATGGGATATATGATACATGATACATGATACACGATATTTGATGTTTGATATTTGATATTTGATGTTTGATATTTGACTTATAATATATCACATATATCAAACATCATGATCAAAAATCACATATCACATATAAAAAATATACATACCATGTAGTATATATATATATGATATATTGTAGAATATAAAATATACCAATTCACAGCTAATCCCTTCCCCCACTTTTTTCGACCCTCAATCGGATACCAAAATTAATAGATTCAGTAGCAACTCGCTACTCACCTTTTTAAGAGAGGCTATTGATTAGGATGGGATCTTTGTACTGGAAGTATCCACTTACCCTCTGGTAAATTAACAGTTAGCTATGGAAAATGGCCCATTTACAGATGATTTTCCCATTAAAACCTCCATTCATGATGGATGTTCCATAGCTATGTCCTTCAACTGTAAAATTAACAAGGTCCTAGAGCCTTAACAAATTTTACTGCGACAGTTTGCGCATCACTCCCTTGCCCCATCAACGGCCATTTTTGATCTGGAAGTCTCCAACTGAATCCTACTTTGGCGATACAGCCATTTTTGAAGGCTAATCATCATTATGGGAAACTATGGCTAATTGTTCAAACAAAACTATTATTGACTATTGGTTGAGTGTTCTCATTGTTGATAGCCAACTATCATTTTTTGGTCATTTTTTTTGGAAGCCCTGGTACCCCCTACCCAGCAGGATATCCCTCCAGCCCAGGTCATGACGATTGAGGAGCTGAAACTCCGCGCGAGGCTCGGAACCTTGCCCTTTCCCTCGGGCGAATGGCACGTGCACAAGGCCCGTGATGGTTTTTTGTAATGGGGATTACCCTCTGGTAGACAAACATAGCTATTGAATTTACCCATTAAAAATAGTGATTTTCCATAGCTATGTTAGTTTACCAGAGGGTAAATCATGAAAGACTGGAAATCATGAGGGTTGATGGTTGATCTGATTTGGTTGCTGAGTTGGTGGATTTCCCTGGCTCAACTAGGGCACAAGTGTGATTTTACAGTTAGATGAATGGGTCTACCACACAACAAAGCGGCGGGATTCCGTCAAAGCCCGGTCTCATCAGTTGATATCCAAGTGACGTTGGTAAAAGCTTGGAAGGTTGGGGCCAGTGGGTTGGGCTTTTCAGGGGATTGAACCACACGCTGCTAATAAGAAGTGAACCTTTCTGGTGATTCAACGATGAGATAAGACTCCAGTGCGAGTGGTTGCAGAAGATTGCAATAGATCCCAAGGCGGCTGTTGAACTGGAGTTGTTGCTGTACTTCCGATGGGTCCAAAATGAATATGCCAAACAGAGTTGCGGAAACATCCTAACTTGTCATCTAGACTGGCACCCTTTCTTGTGAGGTTCACAGGGATACCAACTTGTTGGCGCAGGAAAGTGAAAGTTTCACTTTCGCCATTTCGCCAGAGGGTCGCTACGAGCGAAAGAGGAGGGGGTCTCAGGGAGAGGATCCGGTGTCCAAACAGCACTGATCCTGTGGATTCGCTGTTTCGCTCTTCGCCATGAGCAACAATGATTTTTTTTCCACAGATCGCAACAATGATCTGTTTGGTTCATTCACCATTTGGGGGTTTCTGAAACTGGAGGCTCCCAAAGTCACCATAGGTTCACCGTAATACTAGGATCATGGTCATCCATGACTTGGATGATTTGGGGGTACCTGGGGTACCTCCCTATGTCTTAGGAAATCCCCATTTTGTTTGCCACGATCCACATCTACCGTCTGGTAAACTAACATAATGAGATAGCTATTGAACATGGACATAGAAATAGTTGATTTACCCAGCTATAAAATGTCGATTTTCCATAGTTATGTTAGTTTGCCAGAAGGTATATCCCATTAAAACCACCATTTTGTTGGTTAAACCCCATTAAACCACCATTAAACCACCATTTCTGTGCGTTTTCCCCATGTCCCGAGGACCGCTGCCGCCAATGTGACTGGCCAACTCTGTGCGGATCCGACAAGCCCTTGGAAATGGCACGTGCGTCTGGCCGCTTCGCGAAGCGCTTCGATGTTGCTGCAAGGTGGTGCCCCCCCAACGATATAAACTTGGTTTACAAGCATTATTCACTTATTAACTATGGATATATCTACCACAGACCCAAGTTATTGGAGTTATAAACTAATTCAGCTGACTATGGGGCATCTTGTGGCAGAAATAAGACATGGAGATGGGTCAAGTACCCTCCTGTTTACAAAAAGATGTGGAAAACCCATGACAGTAGATCATTTTCCTCTGGAAACATAGGGTTTCCACATCTATGTTAGTTTAACCCAGGGTGGCCAATGGGTTGGTCTGGGCAATTGAAATGGGGAAATTGATGATTTATCATCAAATTTTTGGTGGGGATGTTTTCAGACAAACCCAAATATCATATACCACTAGCATAGATACTTTTCAATGGGTCAGTAACATTGCCAAAATATCGGGATTCGCAGACGAAGATGATTACTGTTTCAACCCCATTGACAAACCCATGTCAGTCATGGCAATCACGATCCAAACCCGAAGAAATTTGAACATTTTCTGATTCGCAGTCCGTGGTTGGCTTTCCGTGATGAAAAAGCTTGGCCTAAACTTGGCGAAAGCTTGCTGGATCGTTGGATCATGCAGGATTGGTAGGGAATGTCTACAGGAAACGATGGGTTTTGACCACCCAAGTTGATTGAGGTTTGAATTGCTGCGGATTTTCGCAATTCTGCGAAATTCCTAAGGACACAGGTTCGTATCTGGAGTTGACTCTGACAAATGAGTGCAAACTTCAGCGCTTGTTGACAAATCCGAATGGCCGTGAGCAACGCTCTGAAGCCCTTCACTTCGGAGGTTCGTTTGGTCATGCCGAGCATCCCCTTTTTTTGATGTACCCTCTGGTAAACTAACATAACTATGGAGAATCACCATTATTAATGGGTAAATCCACTATAAATGGCCATTTTCAATAGCTACGTTAAATTACCAGAGGGTAGTGGGATATCATGGCAAGTTAAAGCAAATGTATGGGTATTTTATGGGGGTACAATCGGAGGTATAGCGGTATAACCAAGCAATGTCAGCCCGAGATCAATCGATCCTGATTATTAATTTTGGGGGTTGAACCTAAAACTGTGTTCTAACCACTAACCCCCTGTTGATAAACTGGAGGCTTATTGACCCTGTGTTGAATTTAAGGTGAGAAGAGGTTAATCTGTGGCTGTGTCCATAGTTGTGGGTGGTGTTGCACTACCAATCCGATCTTCTATTTTGGAATGACATTTACCCTCTGGTAAACTAACATTACTATGGAAAAAAACACCATTTTCAATGGGTAAATCCACTATTCTATGGCCATTTTCAAGTTCGCAAAGTGTTAAATTACCAGAGGGTAACCAAAACTTTGTTCGATATCCTTAGGTTCTTTGACAACTGCAGTGCTGATTTTCAGATATGTCGAACGATGCTGAAACCTTCATTCAACAGCACCCAGAAACCATGGCTTGAGATTTACCATGGTTTCCTCCAGAGTTTTCTTGGTAAACCTTGCGCCATTTTCTTAGGGAAGCCAACCCACAAGGTACACGTGCCCCTTGTTATGAGTTTGTAAACCCATCTAACACAACAAACATCACCACCATCATAAAGCCTAGATTAAAGCTAGGCAAAAGAAACAACTTAGCTATCATGAAACCTATGAATCCACATTTTTGGTAGTGAACTCCTCATCTTCCACCATTTCTGATGGTGAAGTCCGCAAACAGGTGCAAACTACTTGAATGCAAAAGGGGCAGAAGAGGCTTGGCTCTATAGCCTACGTGGCATCATGGAGTATGCTGTCACGCACCCAAATGATACCTCTCTGAACGATGCCTGGCGTGCGATTCACATGGTGTTCTCGTGGGTGGATCAGTTCAATCAGCGACCCTGAGCTGAATTTTGAGCAGTTGATGTGGAAAGTTTTCCACAACGCGACAGACGCTTTCTATATGAATTTTCAACAAACCCACATGATTCCTTTGTTAGTTGGGGCCTTTTTGAAAGGACCTGGTGCAAATTGTTGGGACAGAACTGCCCTGTTCTGATGAATCCAGGTTATGATGCCCAAAATCACAAGGGAAATCCTCGCTTTGACGAGTTCATGAAACAGGTGCCACCGCCCTGGCGTTCGACAGGGTTGCGCACTGTGGGTACTATGTGTGAAAGCCAAAGAACCCTGAAGAACCACGGTTTTGAAGTTGGGCCTTCGGCAATTTCTGGCAGGGAGTCGTTGCGAATGTACAATGTTATCCTTTTGTCGCCACCACGGACTCCGCACATTCTTCTTTTCAACATAGCTCCAACTAAGTACTTTTTCATGAATTCAACAGATCAGAAAGGACACAAAATTTAAGGGTAGTACGGTGCAACATGGCTGGTTGTGTAACACAGAGATACCCTCCGGTGTCCTACCCTTCAGGTGGCAAGCTCGGTGACTCAATTGGTGAACATGGTTCCTGGAGTCCAACATGCCTTGTCGCAGCGCCTGGTTTGTGCTACACACTTCATCAGTTGCCTCTTCAAACGCTGGGTTTTCGTGACGCGCACAAACACTGTGTCTGGACAGCGTTTTTTTGTTTGCACGCTGTGGTTTTTTCGGGATCTCCATTCCACGCTTTCTTTGTTTGGCTTTCCATTTTCCGTTCTGCTAATTCGAGTTGGGAAGAGTATCGTAGGAAACATGTGGCATGGTGTCAACATGGGGTTCTTTGGCCAGCTGATGTCTCGAATCAGCTCGGTGCTTTCGCACGTGTTCAGTTTCAAACGTTCTGGATACTAACTTTTGGGATGATGATCCCCAATGACTACATCATTTTTTTTTTGTTGTTTTTTTTGTTCCCCCACTAACCAGAACTGTTGAGGTGTGGTTTTCCAACTGGTCAGTTTGGCGTGACGTGGAGACCACCTTCCATCAAGCTCTCCTGACGTGCCGCGATCACTTTGCCAACCGTTTGCGAATGAGCCAGGGAAGGTCGTGCGGGGAGGGTTCAGGGATTGACATGGTTTACATACATGGTTTCTGGGGTCCAAAAAGCATCAAGAATGGTGATTTAATGGGATTGAATCGGGATTAATTAAATGGGATATATTCTAAAATGGGAATAATGGGGATATATAGCCAATAACATATTAAATACCACCAATGTCAGGGACCCTAATTCATGAATAGATCCAATATATTTCACTAGGGTTTGGTTTGGGGGTATTTCATATTAGGCGGAAGGGATTAGAAACGTCTTAGTGGGAGAGTTTGATGGACGTCAAAGTACGTTTCCAGATTCAACAAAAATAGGCTCAATGCTTGACTTTGGTTAATAAACATGGGTTCTGTAGTTTATCCAGTGATGATAATGGGATATACCCAGTTGTATATGGGTTTAACAAACAATGTGTACAGCCAATTTTTAGACACACTCTCCAGTAACTAGTCGGAATTTCCGAATCCAAATGCCCGGAATGGAAACGCCATCTTGGAGGGGTACAATTTCCATGTCTGGCCCTTCGACGTTCATCGAAAAAAATGTGACGCTTGGAGATTTGGGGGTCGAATCAGTAGCCAGCTCTAAAGTGTATGCAGATCTCTCTCTCTCTCTCTATGTATCTTTGTATCTTTGTATCTATGTATCTACCTATCTATCTATCTATCTATCCATCCATCCATCCATCCATCCATCTCCATCTATCTGTGTATTTATCTGTCTGCATAGCAGGCAATATTTTTTGTTTGCCGAAGACGAAACATCTTCGGGTGATTGAACTCTTCTGCGCTGGAGGATGTTTAGATATGTTTAGATTGTTCAGTCAACTTTTTGCTCAGGAACCGGAGCAGCTGGGAATTTATGGAGGTCTCTAGCTGGGAAATGATCCATAAACCCACTAAACCCCATTGAAAACCCATGAAAACACACTGAAACCTACTAAAACCCAGGATTTTCATGGCTTTCCAGCAGGCCGTGGTAAATGACACGATGACACATTGGAGTGTGTTTTTTTTTCGGCTTCCGAGTCTGGAAAACTCGATTCCTGGGATGCCAGACCTGCATTAATTTCATCCCAACATGCAGGTCTGGCATCCCATGATTTTTTTTGCATATGATGCATCTGATGGGGGGTTATTATCATAACATGGGATGCATCTGATGGGCATTATCGAACATGGGGGTTATTATCATCCCATTATTATCATAAGAACAAAGCCATTCCCGAGCCAGTCTTGGTAGGATGCAGATCTACTTGGAGAATCTGAATGATTGGAGCCTGCAATTCCTGATGCAGCAGCTTGAATCCTTGGCTTCCAGAGAGGAAGCCTATGCGCGAGAGCTGCCGTATGCCTTTTGGTGGAGAAATCATAGAGGGCATCATTGTAACTAGAACCACCAAAAGTCAGTTTTTTTTTGAACCTGCAACCAAAACCCATTACGGAAGCCAACAATTATCCCTTGGCAATCCAATTGAATGTCATTGAATATGGATGAGGCAATGGCAATTTTCTATCGGTATATAAATAATCTAGAAATAACTGATATTTCATGGATATGTTCAATTACCGGAGGATTTTTTTTTTGATTTTATCCAGCAAGAATGAAGGGATTTCAAGAATGTTTAAGCAACAGAAAGCGGGGCAACCCATTTTTTTTGTCATATGATATTGATCATATCCCCAGGTTTTAGCTCGTGGGTTGTTAATCCAGTCATTTGAGCTTTCAAAAATACGGCAATAAGTTGAGGGGTGTCACAAAAGGATGACTGGACATTGCAAATTTCAAGAAGTTCAAACAGCTGAAACAGCGCGCGAATTTTCACCCAGGTGCATCTAATCTTCAAGCAATTCTCAACTTGATTCAGGGAGCTCCAGGTCAGTGACCTGTGATGATAGATGGTTGGGGTCACCTTTGGGGCTGGTGTTTTCTTGTGCCTTTTTGTATCAGCGGTTGCGTTGCAAGTTAATTTCATATGTCACTGTCTAAACATAAATATATATTATGATTATGTATATAAATGATTGTAAATGTAGATACATATATGTATATATATATATACACGTATATATATATATATACATGTGATAAATATATACATATATATATGTACGTAAGTGAGAAATATATATATGTATGTATACAAATGTACAAGACGATATGTACATTTATATGATATATGTATATAATAATATAATTGTGAAAATAAATGTATATGTATACACATGTTTACATATATATATATGTATCTAAATGTGAATGTAATTTTATATGTATGTATGTATATATATATATATATATTCCAGCCAACCCCGAAGCTCACGAAGCTTACATGACGTGAGCAAGTTGACAGGGACGTTAACATCCCCCCCCCACCCCAAACCCTTAAGAAAAAGCAGAACAAGTGGTTTCGTTACCAGTTGCCTGGGGACGGTGCTGGGTACTAAAATGGCCTCGGTGAAACTTCATCTGAAAATAGGGTGCCCCAAATTTTATTCGGGGGCCCTGGGCCCCCGATTTTTGGACACACCCAAATCATGTTGTAGGCGCGCTACATCCCAGTGTATCATATCCCCTGAAGTATTGCCATAAAATGGTGAGATTGGTGACTGTTCTGCCCCCACATTGGAGGCAATTTTTATGTCTTTCCTTGTGGAAAACACCATTGTTGATTGCAATTTTGCATTTTTGTATTGTTAATATATTCTAAATCTGATGAGTATATTTTGACTATGTTAAGCCACCATTTTTGACCACAAACCACCAGTTTTCTTGCTGAACTCCACCCACCCCGCCATTGTCCTCCCAGTGCCCCAGGTGTGCCTCTTAGAGATGGCCATTGTGATCTCGGGGAGACTGCGAACAGAGTTGCCCCTGGAGGAGTTAGATGTGACAAATCCCAGGAGGAAGTGCTTCAATTTGGAGTCTCAGCGTGGTGCTGGAGTTCAACGAGGAGATTTCATGGGAAGAATGATAAGAATGGTGAATGGAAACCTCAAGAATTTCATGAAGGATAGTTAGACTAGTTGTAGATGGGACAATTCTTTGAGATATCCATAGTTAAGATGGGTTTACAAACCAACATATAAGTTGGAGTACTTCAACAATTTGGAGAAGCTGGTAAGTTGGTGGGATTCAAACATTTGATGAGGATATTGCATGAGAATATGACGGAATGGGAATAGGTTTAGATGGGTCTACTCCACCGTGAATTTCATCAAGATATAACATATAATAACCAACAATATATGATGTAAATGGTTGGGAACTATGTCACCTTATAAACTTCAACAAAAATTGATATTTACGACTACAGAGGGTATATTAATATAAATACATATCCATAGTTTAGATGGGTTTACAAACTAACATATAAGTTGGAGTACTTCAATTTGGAGTCTCAGTTGAGATGCTGGAGATGTTTCCAGTTGGGTGTAATGTGGCGAACCCAATAATATAAACATTCCTCGATATTACCAGAAATTGGTGAGATTGAAACAATCACCAAATTGTTGGTTAAATATTGATTTATCAGATTATAGCAGCCACTGTTTTGGTCGGATGTTTCTTTTCTATCTTTTTGGATCTTTTTGGGGTTACTATACTAGCTCTACTGGAGTCTCAGTTTCCGTTGGTTCCCCCAAAACAATTGGTGCCAGTTGGTTGAAAAAACAGGCCAAGTGTTGGAGTTATGGTGGATACATTTGATGGTTTTGATGGTTTCATCCATTTTCGATTGGGATTTTCCATGAACAAACCATCCAAATTTTGGTGGTTTCAACGATTTGTTTATTTTCAAAGCCGGGATGGTGATCCCAATTGGTTTATTTCATGGAAAATCCCATCTGTAAACGGATGATTTCGGGGTACCCCTTACGAAGCAACCAACTTTCCTGGGGGAGACGTGACTTTCAGCTGAGCTTCGCAGAGGCTTCTCACTGTTCTCCCGAAACAATGAATGATAGTTTTTTCGAAAAAGCATTGTTTCAGGTGAGTGAAATGCTACAATTGATGCAGACATATCTCAGGGTCAACACAATGTTTCTTTAGAGAAATCCGATCTACGAAGGCTTGGGATCACAAAGCTTGACATAGCTTGACCATCCACACTGTCCAGTGCAAGTCACTATCCAGAAGTGGACGTGTTGATCGAAAGTGGGATGAGATCTAAGTCTCTAAGTGAAAAACTTGGATATCACTTCGTCAAAACTGAGATGAGATGTTGTATCACTAAACATATTTACATGTAGGATCATGTAGGAATGTGGCCATGAGACGACCTGTCTTTGGGTGAATGGGGAAACCCATATATAATTATATATATATTATAATATAACATAACACAATATAACATAATATAACATAATATGATATAATATAATACAATATGATATGATATGATATGAAATGTTATGATATGATATGATATGATATATAATATAATGTAATATATACATACACACACACACATATATATATATATATACATATGTATAGATGGGAACCATGGTTAACGAACCCATACTTCCTGCTCCAATTATAGCTATTACATTTTTTTGGATATCCTCTTTCAGAAGACTCCAAATATCCAGGGGGCCGTCAGAAACGACCAAGGATTTTGTGTTGAACAGATGTGCAGACCAAGCGCGGGAACGAGAGAGGTTCAACCAGGAGTCTTGACGGAATGTCCAAATATTGTGTTTAATGAAAGTTTTTGTTTTTATTATTATATATATAGCTTTTAAATGAATTTTCAAAAAGTATTTTTTTATTTTTATTTTATGGCTTTAATATAGTTTTAATATGGTATTACATGTTTTGATATGCTACCATGCTAGCGGGATATTGGGAGAAAATTTTGGGACCCAATGGGATCATATGACGGTGGGGTTACCCCGTACATAATGGGTTTACTGTTTGCGAAGTGGAAAATCACCATTTGGAATAGGTAAATCAACTGTTTTCTTGGAGCCATTTTCAAGTTCGCGTACTGTTAGTCATTACCATTTCGGGTAAATCCCAATGGAAAACCACCATTTTGTTGGTTAAACCCCATTAAACCACCATTAAACCACCATTTTCCTATGATTTTCCGATGGTTTTCCATTCACTTGTGGTTACTAACCAGCTACCCTCGTTTTTTTGGATGATCATCCAGGGAGTTGTGATTTCTGAGGTTTCCAGCTCCCTTCAAAACTGGTGTTTGAAAAGGATGCCACAACATGGGAAAATGATGGTTGAGCCATGGATTTAGGAGTACACTATTTTCAGACACCAAAAAAATGGAGGGTCAGAAACTGCCCAATCCAAAAGCTGAAATTGGTCTGAAGCAGATGACCGCCAAGAATCCGCAGATCCCAAATCGTTTTGAACTTTACTGAAACGCAATTAATTTGGACTTTTCACATGCTGAAACTATCCAGAATCAGGCTTGTGGTGTGTATATATATATATACATACATGTTTGTGTCATTTCTTGTTGGTTAACTTTGCTAGTTCTCCCCACTTGATCCCATTCAGCACATCCAAGGAGGTCGCGGCCCTCATGGGCCTGGCCGCCATGGGAAGTTTCGCGCCCAAGGACGCCTGCAGGCGCCTGGTGGTGTCTCGGAGAATTGAAGGTGGAGGTGCGTCCCATGATTATTGACTGCTGATGATATATAACTGTCTTTGATTATATGTATGTAATGTAATGTAATGTAATGTAATGTAATGTAATGTAATGTAATGTAATGTAATGTAATGTATGTATGTATGTATATATATATATATATGTATATTAACCTATAACTGAAGTTATATCCATGTATCTCCCACATATTGCTGCCGAAGAAACTGTGGAGAGTAACGACTTACGATGCTGCTGATGCAAGTCCAAACATGGCTCGCTGGGAAATTTCCGCGCTGCATGGAGGTTTCTAAATGGGAAAGTCAGGGGACTGAATGGGGAATTTTCCATTGCCATGTCTGTTCAAGTATGAATATGCGATATATATATATATAAATACACATATGGAATATTGAATCCTATCATTAAAACAATCAATACAAGCTACATAATCTACTTGGTAATCGGAAAATAAGCCATATATATATATAAAAGGCATATCACCATAGTTATTGATGGTCCTTATCAAAATTGTCAACTACTTCCTGAAAGCCGAGAAGATGCGATGGTTTGGACTCATCTTATGTACAACAAGGTTGTGCCTCATACTTAGATAAGTTGGTTTATAACTCCGCTAGCTAGGGGTTTATGGTAGATATGTCTATAGTTACTATGGTTTACCAAACAACTTATAACTCGAGGGGCACCACTTTGTCTGCTTGTTTGGCTAGATACTATCTTGGTGAATCCGTTTTTCTCTGGTGATTTCCGTCCTTTTTTGCCGGTGGGTCAAGCCTTGCACGGCTGGAGTGTTTTTTTTTGGGAGGGTTTGAAGGAAGCTGGTGGCTTCCTTCCATGTTCATTGCCACAAAATGATCTCCCTATTTCTGGACAAAGCCACATATCATATTTTTGGCAGTATATCCCATGATATCAGATTATATTCCCTTAGAACGATGGGTTACCGCAGCAATTCCCACAGAAATCATGACCTCTATTCCCTGATCTTTGTTCATGATTTCTCGTGGAGTTGTTTTTTCTATTATGGGGTTGTCTGAAGATAGGATATCCGTATATCCATGAGTTAATCATCATTGTCCCTATTAAAATAGCCATAACTGGGGTGTATACCCAATTTCAGACAAACCCAATTATCAATTATAGTATGAAGTTGGTTGTAGATCCAAATATATACCCATGAAATATACCATAGATACTTTTTTCCCAGTTACTGTAACTCAGCGTTTTACAGTTCCATGGCCCAAGGTATGTATTGATGTGGTGAAGGACAAATTTCCAGGCGGGGACTTGATTGCCGGAAAATTCACTGGAGATGCCTCAAACAAATTGACGGAAGCAATTCAACTAGGAAAAGACACCCACCATTTTTGTTGAATTTCCAGTAAATCATTTTTGTTGAAAGTTTGCAACATTTTTCATTTTTCCATATATATATATATATATTGGGAATTTCATCATCCCGAGTGACTTTCATATTTTTCATAGGGGTAGGCTTGAAACCACCAACCAGATCGTGTTTGTTGAAATTGCTGCAATCGAGGTCTTTGGAGTTTTCAGCCTTCCAAAAGAGGTGATTCTTGGCTGGTCCAATGTTGATGACCACTCCTATGGTATCCATCGGTACATCAACGTGCAAAAATCAGGTTGCTGCTCTGGTATACATTTGTCACATGTTCCATCCCAACTGGAATGATGGTTCCTGAAGTGACTTTCTGATGATATTTTTCAGGGCACACCACCAGTTGTGATGTCCCCTGTTCTTCTGCGTGTTTTTGTGACAGGTGGCTACAGATTTGCAGAAAGCTTGCGCCTAGCCTATCGCTGTTGCGAAGGCAGTGCCGCCAGAAGCTGCTGCCCATGGTAAATGATGGCCACTTTTGATGTTTTACCACTCTAAACATCGCAGAATTTCGCCCCCAAACGTACCTGGGGCAGAGGTTGCTCCCTGTCTGATCTTTGCCGAGATGATTTTTTGGGTTTCACTTCAGGTCGATGGGGCTCCATGTGTAGGTTGCTGCCATTGAACTGGAGGTATACCATGATATACCTACTTTTCTGGATCCAAATCAGCTTGGTTGTAAAGCCACTTAAGACCTCATGTGCTTGGCGCCCCACCTTGTGTCCATGTAGCTGTTTCACATTGCACGGCAGGTTCCACCTTTTTGGGTTCGTTCTGATGCAAGGAGATGACTATCCCCAACAAAACATCAAGACCTCGCTGCACTTGAACACCTAAAATGGGGCAATCTCATGTAATTCTGCCATCTAACCGACCAAGGATACTCAGGAGAACCAGAGCCAATCCACATCAGGAGTTTTGGAAACGGCTGATTTTGCTAGTACCCTACGGGGTCGTCAAACCTTAGATGATTTGCACAGTAAAACTTCCATTTAGTGCGGAGATTTCCCAGCGGCCCACCACGTTTGGGCACGCCTCAGGCGCCAATGCTCCTGAGCTCTTCAAGCTCGTTGTGGATCGCTTGAAGCAAAGCCAGGAGATGATCAAGTGCGTCACCGAGTTCCGCTTTGCTGCTCGCAGCTGTTGGAAATTTGCTGGGTGACGCCACATGGGGATGGCCCATCGGGGCGAGACGCCGAGACCAGTGGTGTAAAAAACCTGCTATAAGATGTGGGTTTGTCTGACTTCGGTGAACACCCTAAAAACTCTAGTGAATCATCATGTTCCTCCTTTCAAAAAGGCAATGCCTGGGGGATTCGCCATTTTCAGACACACCCATATGACGAAAGAAGCGCCTAAGGCCGTAAGACCTCCATTGTGAGGTGCTGACCCCTCTGCCCAGGATGGAACAAAATCTATGGCGGAGAATGTCTTCCTTCCTTTGCTGGACGTGCCTTGATTGTTGCCATCAACTTTCAGCTAGCTATATAGCTACATTCTTTTCTTAACATCCCATTCATACATGGGTTTTATAATAATTGTGGTTACTTATCACTTACTAAGTTACTAAGTGGGATGATTCTTCAATCAATGTGGGGGACCCCTTTTTTTCATCCAAGTTACTGATCATGGACAAGACATCCACCAGTTGAGGGATGTGGTTCCCATCATTTTGGAGTTTCAGCATGTTTCAACCATCCTTTAGGTGTTTTTTTTTGATTTCTTCCCGCAATTTAATAGCCAAGCCCAGTGTCCAACCTTACTGATCTTATACCCTCTGGTAAACGTTAACATAACTATGGAAAGATCCACCATTTTTCATGGGTAAATCCACAATTTCTATGGGCCATTTTCAATAGCTATTTTGACATAACCAGAGGGTACTGATCTGATTCTGATCTGATTCTGATCTGATTCTGATCTGACTGATCTGACTGAGCCAAGGTGCCTGGTGGCTATTTCTCTTCGGAAGACTTGCAGGAGCTCTTGGCCTATGCTGTGACCTCGCAAGTCCAACGCATGTGGAGCCTGCAGGAGCGATGGATTCAGTGATGGATATGATTTTTTTAGGATCCAAAAAGGATATCATGGATATCATGGATATTATTATTATTATTATATGATATGGGAATATGGTATCCATGATATATCCATGATATATCCATGATATCCTTTTTGGATCATTTTTTTAGGAGATGTATATGGTAATTTTATGTCATCTAAACGTTTCACAACTATGGGTGAAGTATAATACTACACTTTTTTTAAAGGGTGAACATAGATGGCTCACCATTTATGTCAATGCAAACAAGACGGGGGAATAGATGCCATCTGTTTTCACCTAGTGTAGATAGATATCATTGGATAGCGAAAGTATGATCCTAAAGGATACGGTTCTTCATAAGATGTATATGGTATGCTCACTGACTCCAAACACCCAAGCTTGGGTATCATCAGTATCATCATGCACGAGCCAGTATGACCCAACCATTCCCTCGTTAGTGGGCCATAGCACCAAACAATCACCACCTATTTTTGGGGAAATCGGTTTGTCCAAAAATTGGGCAGATCTACCCAAATATAGGGGTGAAAAACAATACTAAAAATCCATTGAAATTAGAGGTACAGTGCCATCCATTTTCAGATATCCCCAACTCGCGCAATTCCCAGAATCTTTTTGTTTTTTTTTAAATAAAGAATTTGAAGGTACACCCAAATCATCCAAGTCATGGATGACCATGACTTAGTATTGAAATCCAACTTGGGGATCGCCGTAAAGCCCCATTTTCATGGCAAAAACTCCTCTAGATTCTAGATAGTGGTTGAATCTCTGCATACCCTCTCGTAATCCTTATTATTATCCCAATATGATCACAAAACATATCCCACTGAATCCCATGAAATCCCATGAAATTGTTGGATATCCCAAAAAAGTGGATTCTCCCATTTTCAAATGATGATCTTTCCGAATCTTTCCATTCAAAATTCGACTTACAGGGGATTTCCCAGCTTTTGCGGGTGCCCGGAGAAGAATCCCCTGGTGGCTCCGTTGCGACAGGACGTGGCGACAGGTCTTCGAGGTCTCTGGGCTCAGCTTGGGGCGGCGTCGAACTCCAGCTTTCTGCACGAGCTCCAGTCGCATGAGGCCTTCGGCAAGGCACGGCAACACGTTCAGAACGGAGGTCTGTTGGAAATTCTTTCAACCAATCTTTCGTGTCTTTAGGATTGAGAATATATATATATAGTATATAATATATATATATATAGTATATAATGTATATATATAGTATATATAATATATATTTATATATATGTATATATGTATATATATATAATACAAGAGGATTTTTCTCGCACATGTAAAGCCTGTACATGTATGTGTGATTTCCTCCCATCACTTTGTTGATCTCACTCTTTGGCTCAAGTTGCAAAACGTTGCAGCTTGCGTCAACGCTGCTCACTGTGTTGTGATTGCTTCGCATTCAACTGGGTTTTCACTGCACTACAACTTCTACCTGTATATCTTCGCTAACACTGGATATTTGGTTGATTCACAACTTTACTGGTTATCAGCCGTAGGCAACGGCTTACTGGGTTCTGAGATCACAACTTCGCTTTATTGGATTTTTGTTCGATTATCATCAACATCGTCATCTACCTGGTTTAACCACTTTATACATCACTGACTTCCAGCCACGCGCCCAGCGCGTCTTGTGCCATTTGCTTACGCGCCTGTGCGCGGAATAGATGCCTATATATTAAATAAATGAATAGATAAATAAATACATAAATAAATAAAAACATATATATATATATATGTATATATTATATATATATTATATACATATTTTATATACACACAAAGAGGGCCGGTATGGTCTAGTGGGTAAGACGCATCCCTCATACGTCAGGCCCGGGTCCAATACCTGGGTGCAACACTAGGCGGACAGGCGGGCCACTACCCCACCCCTGCAGTTAAGGGGATAAGCTAGGGTGTTGTCCGTAAAACACTCACAATATATACACAAATATTTGTATATATATATATGTATACAAATCATTATGTAATATATTACATCCTTTATCACACACACACATATATATATATTTATATATATATATGATATTTCTATATATTTCTTGGATCCGACTTTCCGCCGTTAGGCGCTGCTGGTGGCATACAGCAAGTATCCACTGCAGATCGACCGAATGCTGCGGGACTTGGCGAGAACCAGCTGGATGAATTTGGAGATCCGCTGCAGCCTCTGTCTATCCTTGGGCGCGCAGCTCGCTGGGTCGCTTGGTTTTCGAAAAACAAACTCCACGTTTTTTTTGGGCTCAACATGAGACCTTCCGGTGAGATAGCAATTAAGAAATCTAGGACTATATAATTTCAATTTAAGATAGTTAGTACTTTGAAGTACCAAAACTAAAGTACGATTAGATGATCTTTGGTTCCAAGATAGTTTAGTAACTTTAGCACCAAAAAGCAACAATAAAATTCTAGCAGTTCCACTAGGTCCCTTTCTAGGTCCCTTCCTAAATGGCCCCCTTGGCAAGCAGCAACTCACCTTTTCGAAAGGTCTCGAAAAGTCAGTGACTGGTATGCTTGTGAAGAGATATTGTTGGCATATTGCCACGCATCGCGCTTTGCAGAACTTCTACTGCTACTTCTGCAGGGGCAGTGTCCGGGCGATGCGGTTGGTTTTGGCTGGGACGGACGAGACTGGAGGATCAGCCGTGGTTTTTGTTGGGTGATAACTTATATAACTTATGGCATCAGCCCATTTATAAAGCGGATAATCACGGATAATCCACCAAATGGGGACTTACTCACTAGGCAAAAAAGAACCACTTACGATTTGTGGGATGATCCTCCAAGTATTGTCGTTTTGGAGACCTGTGATTGTGGGCTGTTTGCCCCACTTTTCAAGAAATATCTTCTCATTCTCATCTCCATAGTGCTGCTGTGGCTCGGGTGCTAGAATTGCTGGCAATGGTAGAGCCAGCTGCAAGTGCTCTCTTTTGGCAGAGAAACAAATTCGTTACTACTGTAGCAGGAGATTCTTAAAAGAAGTTTGGCAAGTGCAACTTCTGATTTCAGGTCAGATGAAACTCATGAATCAATGTGGTGTTTTGGGCAGCATGTGTCATGTGAATGTCGGGAAAGAAAGGACATGTGCGACATGCTATTTGTCTAGGTGTTCTGCAAGCAAACTTTGATCTTGTACGAGAATAAAGGTCCTGCGTCAGTGTGCATTGTGATTCGCAATTCAGAGTTGCTAAACCCAAGAAATGAGTGTGTCCATAACAGCTACAAGGCCATAACATCACTTGACCGGGTTCACAACTTGAAAAGTATTCCGCCGGCCATGGGACAACAGTAAACCATCCTTGCAGGGTATCCAGAAATGTCCCAACATTTCAGGTTATATAGTGAATTTCCCATTTATCCAGATTATTCTTGGGTTTATTGCATTATTCCCTATTATAAGAGTGTAATACAATAATAATACACTATAATTACCAGTAAATACAACATGTCCCAGCTCTTGCGATCAGTCGAGTTTCAAGGTGTGATGTACGACAAATGTACTCCTTTTTGTGCAAATTGCCGTCAGAGTCTTTGAACAAGGACCGACGCTTGGAAATGGACTTGTGTTTGTTTTTTCCCCAAACACGCTTTACTTTGAATGATGATTTCTGGCCATGTATCAATTCATATATATATATACCTAGTGACTATAACCCGCCCGCCAGTCCCAACCACTTCCTCTGGATCAATATGCCCAGTTAGTAGGTGGTTATGACAATCGCTGGCCCATTCTACCCCCAAATTCGGCCAGCTTTCGCGGTGAAGACAACCATGGTTCCATCACCAATTGCTGGTTGTCTGAACAACATATCATCAACCAGATATCTACCTGATGATCATCAACCATCTCCAATTTCACCAGATATCTTTAGAACAGTTTTCTGTCTGCTGCAGTTTTTTGCAAACGATCTGCTCGAAATCTTCCCCATCGACGTACTACATCCGCTCCGTGAACTGGGCTCTGAAAAAATGGGTTCAGGGGAAAAATGAGGTTTTTAAAAGAAATGGGGTTCCATAAGGGTTTTGCTGAAAATTGGGTATACCTCAAAACGGCAATTTGAGTAGGGTTTTATGCTGAAATCAATAGATACGGCTTTTCCCTTTTAAACTTTCCATCAAAATTCTTGATCTTTTCCCCGTCTTTTCAGATCCCCAGTTGTAAGTTGGTTTACAAAGCTAATTTAACATAGCCATGTAAACATAGCTTTATTAGCTTTATGAACCAACTTACTATGTTAACATCTTACATACAACTTATGGGGGTTTACTCTAATAACCATCAATAATAACATAGCTACATGCCCCCATAAACCCTGAAGTTATGTGCGTCAAGCGATGCCTAGAAACATCTGGAAGGAGGTGAAGCACGCTATTGAGAAGGTGGTGGAAGAAGCCCCCGTGTGGAGCCTGCCCATCCATGAGATTTGCTCCTCGGCGCTGGAAACTGGACATTGGGACCCTTTTGCGTGCAAAAATTGGGCCTTGAATCAACAGAATTACTGCTTGGTGGTGACTGGAACCATGGAATGGATTATGACTTTCCATTCAGTTGGGAATATATAATCATCCCAACTGACGAACTCCATCATTTTTCAGAGGGGTAGGTATACCACCAACCACCAACCAGATTATGATTAACCATCATTAACCATATAATAACCATTAATATCAACCATTATTAACTGTATATTAACCAGAGATAGATTAGGATTTGGCCATTGAAATTGCCTCCAGTGGATCCATGGTTCACTGTGGTTCAAATCAGTGGTTCAAATCAGGGGACTCCGCCTGGATTCTGAATCGGTTGATGGTCGAACATAGAGGAGTGGGCAGTTGTTGAAGATGATGAGAAAAGAGAATCCTGAACCAGTCAACCTGAATTTCTAGAAACGGACTGAAGATAGGAGCAGCCAAATCTGTTCACCTGTCCTACCTCGATGATCCTACCTTCATGCTGGAATCTCACTTCTGAAGGGGGAAAACAGGTGTTTATTTGAGATGGCTAACCACGACCCCCATGCGTGTGCTGTTCACATCCAATGAGTTCCGTTGGCCGTGTCGCCAGATATTTTTGAAACCGTGGCCCTCGAAGTGATTAGCATCATTTTTGCAGAATTGAATGCCCAGCTTTTGCTATTTGGATGTGTCTGAAATCCGGAAATGACAATTACAATACGGAAACTCATGATGAATCAGTGGATTTAGGGATCTTCCTTTCGCACGATTTTCAGACAATCCACTGGTTCATCATTTGAAAAGAACATGAAAGAATTTTTTTAAGGGTTTTTCCCGGTTTTCCCATCAAGATAAAAGACTATTTCTATAAAGATCCCACATTTGCAGAAACTTCTTTTACCCCTCCGGCAATGAAACGTGACAATGGAACATCACATTTTTTGAATAGCTAAAACAGGCAAATGATCTAGAAATTCAATGAAAACTATGGAAAAAAACCACCATTTTCCATATGTCAAAGAACCATTTTGGGTATCACCGGTGCGGCCAATCTTTTTCCCGGCCAGGTGTAGATGATGCGGCCAACTGGCTTCAGGAGATCCCCGTGGCATGATCTGGTACTATTGTTATTGTTCCCCAATAGCGATAGCTTGGGGTTGTTATTCTTTTTGATACATTATATATATATATATACTATATAATTGTACATACATATATGTACATTCTATATGTATATAACTGTATATATATATATATATACATACATATGCATAATCTAGATGTAGTGTCAGTTCAAGTTCAGAGACTTTTACGTCATGCTTTGGGATCAGAGACATGATGTATGTGTTGGCCAACCACAGTAACTATAACGGTATTGGTCAAAATCAGGGAATGGCATAGGTTCCACATATCCTGGTCACTTTCAGCACCCATCCAATCTTTTGCACTTAGATACACTGAGATCAGCATCATTGTGGTGTTTCTGATTCCCAAGTTTGACCCAGAAAAGCCAAATTCAACGGTTTTACCCATGGTCTTAACATAAGCCATAAGCTTTATTGTTCCTGAAAACCTGGGTTCCAAGCTTTGCCGATGTGGCCGCTGGATCAGCCAAGGACCTGGGATTCGACTGGTTAGGTTCGGTTTGTGTGATTTTTGGGGCGGACAAAAAAGATCCATTTTTCAATCCACTGGTTAGCATTATGATTTATCATCGCACCCTAAATCCACTGGTGAACATGGTTTATCAAGCCAATTCGCCAACTGTTATGGGTTAGTGAATGACTCTCTCTTTTCTCTGTGACTGGGAAAGCAGTTCATGTGGACAATTCTTCCCAAAAAGCATGGCTCAAACAGTGCTACACTTGAAGCTGCAATGTGTGCAACTCGAAAACTGCAGTCTCAAAATCAGCACCTGCTACTTCCTCATGTCCGCTGATTATCTCATTCCACAGCGCTAGTGGCCAACAATCCCTTGCCTCTAACTGAATCCCTTGCCGTTTTTCACCTCTGACCTGCACCCCCAAGAAATGATTAAGAGATGGACCAACCCCATGATATCCCATTGAAATCCCTTTGATATCCCATTTAATCCTCAAATCCCATGAAATTCCACCATTCCTGTCGCAGTTGCACTTCGCCACTTCGCCCCATGGAATTCCCGGAGGAGCAGCAGTTCTTCGACTGGTTGGGTGTGGAGGAGATGTGCCGCCGCCCTCAACTGGTGTTGCAACGCTTGTCCTCGGCTCAGGGCGTCATCCATCCCTTCCTACAGGACGGGACGCCGGGACGCCGGGGTGGTGGTTTCTTCACCGGTGAAGTGGTCATGGGTCAAAACCCTGGCACCTAGGTGCCCGAAGTCATAGCTGGTGAATGGATGGTAATTCCCCAGAATATGGTAGTTTAACAGGTTTTGACCCATAGCTATGCCCAGAAAGTTGAGGGAGTTGCCCGCTGGTAAACCTACAAAAAGCGAACTGGAAAATCACCATTTTGCATGGGTAAATCAACGAACCAAATGGCAATTTTGAATAGCTTAATTTCCAGAGGGTATTGGAAATCAGTTCAGCAACTTTACTAGTCCCTGGGATTAATCAAGACTGGGATTAGTAATGTGAATTGGTATGTTCCTTTTCGCAACTGGGATTCGTCAGTGAGGATTTCTTGAAAAGATCTACCAATCAGTACAGTGATATCAGTTTGATCAGTTCAGTAATTCATGTAATTCATGTGGTAATTCCCAATGCCATAGTCACAATCCCCGGGTTTGAGGTTTATGAAATTGGGTATACCCCTAACTGAAGGGATGATGGGGTTTAGTTGTAACCAGCCCTGGTGCTCCATCCTAACCGTCCCTTGGGTTATGGATCGAATTACAACATGGGGTAAGCATCATTTGTCCACATATATATATAATTATATATATATATGATATAGTATAATATATAAGTAATCATCGTGAAGTAGATAGAATATGGACTCTTCAAAAATGTTCGTCACATTTTTGTGACGATTTGTGACGAAATCTTCATTCATTGTATCTGCTCCAGGATGAGCAGATATTTTTTGGGGCCCGGTGAGCCACATTTTGTATTGTTACAGCTGGCTAACAGAAATTTTCGACAAAATGTTAAATGCAAAACAAACGAATTTGCCAGTGGCGTTGCTTAAATTGCTGCGAGCAAGTATCACTATGTATCACTTCATTCCCAAGAACATCAGCTCATGGCCTGGCTTTCCCACGCTGTAGATACACCCAGTGTTTCGTTGGTTTTCAAACTCATCCAGCTGTGACTAATACCTAGTCGTAAACCAACTTGCCTATTGTTTGGGCCCCACCTTGGTTGGTGACCCTTATAATGATAGCTGGTTTAGATTCGCCCTTCTTAGCGGTTGTTAGTGGTTGTTGGTAGTCAATGCTCAATACACCTAAATCCTAAACATTAACACCGGCACCAACAGAAAAACTCCCCACTGTTATTGATAAACAGTGTTATCAGTTGGTTGAAATATATTCATAACATCCCTGGATAATATGGGGTTCTATTTATTCATAACACTTTTCCATACATATATATATATAATCTATTATACACTGGTTGGTGGTTTGGAACATGAATGTTATTTTTCCATATATTGGGAATGTCATCATCCCAACTGACTTTCACTCCATCATTTTTCAGAGGGGTAGGGATACCACCAGCCAGTATATATATATATATGTATATCCCCACTATTATTCATAAACATTGGTTGCTTGAATCCCCATGATCTCCGCGACCTCGCCGAAACACGCCACTTCCCAGGAGGCACCCGGCACGGATCCTGCGGATCCAGCGGCTGCCTGGCGCGAGGCGTGGAGCGAGCTGCAGGGCTGCCCTTGGCCCAAGCTGCGACCGCTGATGGATGTCTTTGGACATCTCCAGGACGTCCGTGGGGTGTTGGAGGTACTTGGTGGCGAACTACCCACGGCTCGTAAGTGGGTTATAACCCCAGTTATAAATGGGATAAGTAAGGTTAATCCACTTATAACTGGGGTTATAACCCACTTACGAGCCGTGGGATGAGCCACCAAGTAGAGTCCCCCGGTAAGTTGTTGTGCCTGGAACTCTATGGATTTCCCTGAAATGATCTACATTGGTGGGATTTTTCCATATGTAAGTTGGCCAAACACCTCGTCTTGCCCGCGCCTGTTGGCCTGCCTTCTTCGTATGAGCTGAAAACGTGGTAAAAATGGGATATTTTAGCACTATGGTTAACTTGATGTTCTAGATCAGAACGCGCAGCACAGGGACCTGTGCGGGTTCGTTCCAAATCGTCATCATCATCATCATCATCATCACCATCATCACCATCATCATCATAATCATCATCATCATCACCATCATCACCATCATCATCATAATCAATGAAGATCTGCAATGAATATAGAAGTTTACCGGGGGTGGGAGAATTAAGCTCTTATTGAAGATCTTCAATGAATGTAGAAGTTTACCGGGGGTGGGAGAATTAAACCCTTATTGAAGATCTTTAAAGAACGTAGAAGTTTACCGGGGGTGGGAGAATTAAACCCTTATTGAAGATCTTCAATGAATGTAGAAGTTTACCGGGGGTGGGAGAATTAAACCCTTATTGAAGATCTTCAAAGAACGTAGAAGTTTACCGGGGGTGGGAGAATTAAACTCTTATTGAAGATCTTCAAAGAACGTAGAAGTTTACCGGGGGTGGGAGAATTAAACCCTTATTGAAGATCTTCAATGAACGTAGAAGTTTACCGGGGGTGGGAGAATTAAACCCTTATTGAAGATCTTCAAAGAACGTAGAAGTTTACCGGGGGTGGGAGAATTAAACCCTTATTGAAGATCTTCAATGAATGTAGAAGTTCGTAGAAGTTTACCGGGGGTGGGAGAATTAAACCCTTATTGAAGATCTTCAATGAATGTAGAAGTTCAATGGGGGTTGGAGAATTAGACCCTTATTGAAGATCTTCAATGAATGTAAAGTTTAACGGGGGTGGGACTTTTATATTCCCTAATACCTTTGTTGATCTTCCCAAGACAAGAAGGGTGTGGGCGAAACGGGGTGTTTGCACATAAGTTTACTTGAGGATATATCTCCATTGCGAGCATTTTTTGGGGATTCTAAACCATGGGATTTTGGCAACGGGGGTATACCATCATTTGATTTGACAGAACTATAGAAAATGGATGAAAATGGCCCATTTAGCTCGATGATATAGCTATAAAACAAGGTGCGTTTCCATAGCAAACTGTTGGTTTACTGGAGGGTATACCTAAAAAACAGTCATTTTTTTGGTGGAAAATGATGTTCAGACAAAACCGTTTCAACCATTTTATGTTTTTTTGGGATACTGATGCCGCAAAACATTTTTTTAAGAGAACAACTTGGATTTTTGATGGTTTGTGATCTGAACATGAGAAAACATGCTGATTCTCATGTTCTCAACATCAGATGGATTACGATGGATTGTGTAGTTTATTTCCTCAGAAACTATCTTGATTTGAAAAAGTTGGGTTCTTTTGGGCTCATGAACTCCGGCAGTGAGGGTTCCGAAATCCGTGAAATTTGCCCCGAAACAAAAGGTGAAACAAAAAAAAATAGGCACTGGCAAAATCTCGAAGCTGAGGCATTTTTTGTTGTGTGGCGTGTGAAAATGTTCCCGTTGTCCCCACAGCAGTGGCTTTGAGATTTGCGAAGGAGAGTAACCATCAACTTCATCAACCCACCGAGTCGTTGACCAAATTTTGTTGGTCAATCTTCCCAGTAAGATTTTCGGTCAAATCCAAAAAAACATGGAGCCTTTCGTGACATGTTTGTGGTCGAGTGGTCGAGTGGACACGTAGATGGCTGATACCCAAGATCCGAAGGAAACTGATCAAGTCCCTCCGAACCTTGAGTTCTTCAAACTCTTCCGGCAGGTCGAAAGGGGGGTCAGTTGAGTTCTTCAAACTAAGAGGGAAATCTGCAGTTGACAGGTGGAATCGGTGGAAAGCATTTTGGACACATTTTTCAATATGTGATTTTGGTGACATGTTTGTGTTTTGCTTTGTGGATTTCATTTTGCTTTGGTTGCTTGACTTTTCATTTTGTGTTGGTTGTAGCCGTGATGATAAAAATGGGAATAATAATAACAACGATGATACTAACAATCATGATCATAGTGATACTAATGATGATAACGATACTTAAATATCTCTTGGAATGATCAGCATAGTCACGATGATCAACCCCTGTTGGGGGGACAGCCGGCGTCTTGTCATGGGCGGATGATTCGAAAGTAGAAAACTGTGATTCGAGTGCTCAGCAAAAGGTATTCTTCTGCAGTGACACGGTTGTTGTTACCCTCTGGTAATTTAACGTAGCTATTGAAAATGACCATTAATAGTGGATTTTCCCATTAAAAATGGTGATTTTCAATAGCTATGTTAAATTACCAGAGGGTAGGCATGAACTTTTCCGTTATCCGAGGTGATCCAGTTGACAATGACGGGATTGGTCGGTCACAACTTGTTCTTCACTGTCGGTTTGACCAGGCACACAAGACCCCGAAATGGTCACTAAACACAGCCTCAAAATGGACATAAAATGAACTTCCATGCTGGCATCCACTGCAGTCGTCTAAGTCTGAGGTTTAATCATTGTGAGCCATTGCCATGTGGTTATAGGACAAACGTGGGGTATGAATGGAATAAAAAAAACTGTTTTTTTATAAAAGTTGGAACAGTCAAATTTGTTTGGCCTCAATTATTTGGATCTTCAAATATAACAAACAAAAACGATGCCGAGTTTAGTGTTTCCACCATGTGAACCTGAGATTTGCGAACCACAACCATCATTTTCCCAAAATTTCCCCATATTTCGCGCTCTTTGTTGAGGGGTTCCGAAGAAAACGATGGGGTTTCGGGGCGCTTCCAAGTTCTCCGCAGGTCGCAAGCGAAGGCTTGTTGCCCTATCGAGCATACGTGGAAATGTCCAAGGAGAAGTGGAGGTCCAGCCGGATGGTCGTTGATGACTTGAATGATGGTGCTATGGTGCTTGGATATAAGTGGTTATCCAATCCTATGGCTTATCAGAATCCCCATTATAATAATAGGTAGTATAATCCCCAACCAATCAATAATGGTATCTTTAAAACCATCTATTATTCCTATGGATTTGAATCACCAGTTGGTAGATGGTTTTTACATCCCCAAAAATAATCCCATGAAATTTACCGTGTTTCTTATTTTTACCAAGAGTCACCAACTGGTGCAGTTGGTGAACATAACTCCAATTTCACGATGGTTTATAGGGATAATGTCAACCCTGGATTAATGTCAACCCGTTTACGGCTGTTTGATTGGGTTTGGGGTACCATCAAAAAGTATCAGATGAAATGACTATTGGAGGAGTACCCCCTAATTTTCATAAACCATGGTTTATTAATCCGGGGTTGACATTACTACTATTAGTCCACCAAGTCATGTTTGTGATTATTACTTATTAGTTTGACTAGTGTATTATACTATTCCTATTCTCACTATTCATTATCATCTGGTTGGTGGTTTGGAACATGAATGGATTATGACTTTCCATTCAGTTGGGAATTTCATAAGGAGGGCTATTTATTTTTGGATTTTTGTTCGCGGCAGTTTTGTTTTTTTTTTGGTTCCTGGTTCTATGCTTTCCTGTTTCTCTGATTTTCCGCTTTTCTGCTTTTCTGCTTCTCTGCTTTTCTGCTTCTCTGCTTTTCTGCTTCTCTGCTTTTCCTGCTTCTCTGCTTTTCTGCTTCTCTGCTTTTTGCTTTCCCTCTTCTCTGCTTTTCCTGCTTCTCTGCTTTTCTGCTTTTTGCTTTTCCTGCTTCTTTGCTTTTCTGCTTCTCTATTTTCCCTGGTTCTCTGCTTTTTTTACTTCTGTGCCTTTCTACTTCTACTATTCTACTTTTTCTTTTCTTCAGTCATGTGCTTTTGCTGCTCTACTTACTGCTCCTTTGCTTCTTTGCTTCCTGTCTTTACTGTCTCTTTGTTTTTCATTTTCTTTCGCTTTATTCTGGTCTGTTTGTATCCTAAATGAAACCCTAGAGAGACCCTAGGTGAAACCAAAAGAAACCCTAAAGAAATCCTGATAAGAAACCCTACATGAAAACCGAAATGAACTCTAAAGAAACCATAAATGAACCCTAAAGAAACCATAAATTAATCCTAAAGAAACCATAAATGAAACCCAAAAGAAACTTTAAATGACACCCTAAATGACATCCCAAAGAAACCCTAAACAACACTCTGAAAAAAAATCTAAATGAAACATTAAGTGACACCTTAGCTGAAACCCTAAATGAAACCCTAAATGAAACTCTAAATTGAAACCCTAAATGAAACCCTAAATGAAACCCTAAAGAAACCCTAAAGAAACCCTAAATGAAACCCTAAAGACACCCTAAATGAATCCTTAAAGAAACCCTAAATGAAACCCTAAAGAAACCCTAAATGAAACCCAAAGGAACCCTAAAGGAACCCGCTTGAACGTTTACAAATCGTGAAAAGAAATCCTGATAAGAAACGCTGGAATGACACCCTAAAGAAAGCTTAAATGAACTCCTGAATGAAACCCTAAATTGAAACCCTAAAGAAACCTTAAATGAAACCCTAAAGAAACTCTAAATGAAACCCGAAAGAAACCTTAAATGAGACCCTAAATGAAACCCTAAACGAAACCCTAAAAAACCCCTAAATGACACCCTAAATGAAACCCTAAAGGAACCCTAAAGGAACCCACTTGAACGTTTAGAACTTGGAAAAGAAATCCTGATAAGAAACCCTGGAATGAAACCCTAAAGAAAGCTTAAATGAAACCCTAAAGAAATCCTAAATGAAACCCTAAAGAAACCCTAAATGAAACCCTAGAGAAGCCCTAAAGAAACTCTCAATGAAACCCTAAAGAAACCTTAAATGGGACCCTAAATGAAACCGTAAAGAAACCCTAAATAAACCCTAAATGAAGCCCTAAATGAAACCCTAAATGAAACCCTAAAGAAGCCCTAAAGAAACCGAACATTTTGAACTCTGATAAGAAATCCTGATAAGAGACCCTACATGAAACCGGAAAAATACCTAAATGAAACTCTAAAGAAACCCGAACCCTAAAGAAACACTGGATGAAACCCTAAATGAAACCGTAAAGAAACCCTAAATGAAACCCTACATGAAACCCTAAAGAAACCCTAAATGAAACCCTAAATGAAACCACAAATGAAGCCCTAAATAAAACCCTAAATGAAGCCCTAAATGAAACCCTAAATGAAACCTTAAATGAATCCCTAAATGAAAGCCTAAATGAAAGCCTAAATGAAACCCCAAATGAAGCCCTAAATAAAACCCTAAATGAAGCCCTAAATGAAACCCTAAATAATCCCTAAATGAAACCCTCAATGAAACCTTAGATGAATCCCTAAATGAAAGCCTCAAGAGACCCACATGAACGTTTGAAGGACAAAAATGTAGCAAATACCATGCAAATGAGAGGTTGAAATGCCAAAAAATGACAAATACCATTCAAAATGGGAGGCAAACATGGCCAAATGTAGCAAATACCATGCACAATGCAAAGTGACCATGCCAAAATGTAGCAATATCATGCAAAATGACAGGTCCAAACTGTTGCAAATACAAGGCAAATGGTACCGGGAAAGAAAGCCAAAACCAATTCCAAATCCTGAGGCAACAAAAAATCCCAAAACTATTCTACACCCGACTGACTTTCACTCCATCATTTTTCAGAGGGGCAGGGTTGAAACCACCAAGCAGATAAAATATGGGGTACATATTCGGATTCATTTGGATGATTCTGTGATATTCGGATCTATTTGGAGTACCATCTGGTTATGACTAACAGTTAGCGAACTGGAAAGATCCACCATGCTATTAAGAACGGTAAACCATCTATTTCGATTAGGGCCATGGCTTAACCATGGCGAACTGTTAGTCATAACCAGAGGGTACATATCTTGGAGTTTTCGATTTTCAATTTTGCAATGTGTGGAAGCGTTGGACGGTCTACTTTCTCATTGGGACAGTACAAGTGAAATATCACAGGGAACCTTTGGATTGCTGCCATTTGACATTTACATGTTTTCCACACGATTTCCACTCCTCCGATTCTGGTATCATACTTGCAGGAATCCGTATTTCGACAAATACTTGCTCTGTTGGATATGGTTTGCTCAGCATATGTATTGACATGAGAGTACTTGCATAATCTACTGCTTTTCAGAAGTGCAGATCTGTTTGCCATGTCTTGGGAGTGTCCTCTTCCCAGGACGACTAAAGACTTTTTGAGGTGTTTTTGGGTTGTCTGGCCGGAGGTTGGGCAACTTGATGGACAACTGCGACGTGGTTTGCTGTTCCACCAGCAGGCCTGGGATGGTGAAAATGAAAATCAGCGGGTCGGACTGTCTTCCCAGGTGACGACCAAGTCATGGCCATATTTGGGGAAAACTGTAGCCATTTCATGAGACAGACCCAAAGGACCCAAATCATATATATATATATAATATAAAAAACATCTTATATATTCCCAATTATATACCCAGAATATCTTTATTGTGAAGGTTTTATACCCCACCATAAGGCTGCGTTTCATCTTCTTCGTGCGTTCACCACGTTTAACTAGTAACTTGGACCAATTTTTGACAGGAAAAAAACATTGAGACGAGAGCCAAGAGCTTGGCCGATAAACTCGTTGGAAACCCGGAAATGCTGGGGAAACGCATCATCTTTACTATCCCGGATTTTTTTTCGGCTTTTTGTGGGGGTTGTGATCTTTATTCAATTTTTTGAAAGTCGATATAGACATCGGCCTGGTTTTTTTTTGTCCCAAATCGTTGGCGTTGTGTCATTAACCTGGACAGCATCAACCACCAGGTATCCACCAGGTTTTTCTCTTAGGACCTGACCTCTTTTCCGCTGCGGCTTGATGAATCGAGAGCAAGCAATCCCCCAATTTCTCACAACCCATCTCAGTAGACGATGGTTTGTGTTCGTGCCAGCCATTTGCATACCACCTTAGTTTTGTATTTCAGGGCCATATTGTAGTCTTGCATACTACCTTAGTTCAGGGCCATACCACCTTAGTTGAGTTAGTGCCAGCCATTTACCGGCGAATCTCACATTTGGATGCACAACCCCATTTCTACGTCTGTCTTGTATGACCACCCATTTTTTGCCCTCCAATGAACTGGTATATGAATATGACATAAATCCTTGATTTCAAGGATTCTAGCCGACTATGTGAAGCATTTACCTGATTAATTGGGGAGTTCCCCCCCAAAAGTGATGTTTTACGACTGAAATGGTACCAATGATCAACAGCCGTTGTCAACATTCATCCAGGGTTGACAACATCATATCTTCATAGATCTGCACCATATCTGCGTATATCGCGAATTTATGTTCATATTTTCATGACATATCTGCATCTTCTTTCTTTTGACTCTTTCTCTTCTCTGATCTTCTCTCTTCTACTCTTCTCTTCTCTCTGACTCTTCCCGTCTCTGCTTTTCATCTGTCCATATTGTCGGAAGTTTGACTTCTAAACTTCCTTCGATAACTGTATAACTGGTATTGTGATGTATTCGGGCTTTAACTGTAGGCTTTTAAAGTTATATATCACCGGATGTCGACAGCGAATCTTCAGCAGGATGGTGGAGTTGGGTGAAGTTTGGCTCAAGATCAGACAGCTACAGGTTGGTGGTGAAAAATGCAATGATGTGGTTTGCTATTGAAAATGACCACAGAAATAGTTGACTTATGTTGATTTCCTAAGCTTAAAAATAGTGATTTTCCACTGTTATGTTGGTATACCAGAGGGTATGTGGTTGTCATGTTTTATCCAAACACCGTTCAAACACCACGAAAAAAGGGTTGATACTCCCAGTTCACTTGAAAAAGGGGGTTGAAGCCACCAACTTGGACGAGCTGGAGTTTTCAAGAGATGATTCAATTCAGTATAGCTTTGCCAAGCGGTCGCAGTGAGGCATTTACACTTCCTCAGTCCTCCAAAGTAGGAGACTTGAGGATTCTGGCGCAAAAATCATTTCAACGTGGCTTCTTGAGGCTTGTCGATGCAGACCATGGCATGGTGGATCCTGCAGTGTCTCTGCAATCTGCAGGACTTGAAGATGGAGACAACCTGACAGCCATTGTCATACACCCAAAGGTAGCGGCAACAGTACGCGCTTTCGCATTGTTTTGCAGCGGAGGCAACCGCGTTGTGACTTGGGGCGATCCAGGTGAAGGCGGTGACAGCTCTGAAGTCCAAGATCAACTCAAGGGTGTCCAGCAGATTCAAGAATCTTACAGCGCATTTGCTGCGATCCTGGCGGATGGCTCGGTCGTGACTTGGGGCGATCCAGGTGAAGGCGGTGACAGCTCTGAAGTCCAAGATCAACTCAAGGGTGTCCAGCAGGTTCAAGCAACTTACAGCGCATTTGCTGCGATCCTGGCGGATGGCTCGGTCGTGACTTGGGGCAAACCAGATGGTGGCGGTGACAGCTCTGAAGTCCAAGATCAACTCAAGGGTGTCCAGCAGATTCAAGCAACTCACCACGCATTTGCTGCGATCTTGGCGGATGGATCAGTAGTGACTTGGGGCGATCCAGATTGTTGCGGTGACAGCTCTGAAGTCCAAGATCAACTCAAGGGTGTCCAGCAGATTCAAGCAACTCACTGCGCATTTGCTGCGATCTTGGCGGATGGATCAGTAGTGACTTGGGGCGATCCACGTTATGGCGGTGACAACTCTGAAGTCCAAGATCAACTCAAGGGTGTCCAGCAGATTCAAGCAACTTCACGCGCATTTGCTGCGATCCTAGCTGATGGGTTTGTTGTGACTTGGGGCGATCCACGTTCTGGCGGTGACAGCTCTGAAGTCCAAGATCAGCTCAAGGGTGTCCAGCAGGTTCAAGCAACTTACCACGCATTTGCTGCGATCCTGGCGGATGGCTCGGTCGTGACTTGGGGCCATCCAGGTGAAGGCGGTGACAGCTCTGAAGTCCAAGATCAACTCAAGGGTGTCCAGCAGATTCAAGAATCTTACAGCGCATTTGCTGCGATCCTGGCGGATGGCTCGGTCGTGACTTGGGGCGATCCACGTTATGGCGGTGACAACTCTGAAGTCCAAGATCAACTCAAGGGTGTCCAGCAGATTCAAGCAACTCACTGCGCATTTGCTGCGATCTTGGCGGATGGATCAGTAGTGACTTGGGGCGATCCAGATTGTTGCGGTGACAGCTCTGAAGTCCAAGATCAACTCAAGGGTGTCCAGCAGATTCAAGCAACTCGCTCCGCATTTGCTGCGATCCTGGCGGATGGGTTTGTTGTGACTTGGGGCGATCCACGTTATGGCGGTGACAACTCTGAAGTCCAAGATCAACTCAAGGGTGTCCAGCAGATTCAAGCAACTCACTGCGCATTTGCTGCGATCCTGGCGGATGGATCAGTAGTGACTTGGGGCAAGCCAGGTGATGGCGGTGACAGCTCTGCAGTTGCTGATCAGTTCGCTTATGTGTGATTACATGTGCAGCCATGCTGGCTCAAAGTGGCCCCTGAGTTCAGAATCCTTCAGTGCTTTGGCTTTTCGAAGCGTGTTTGAAAAGGCCCGCAGGCTGGCGCGTCTCCTGAAACCTACGCAGTATTGAACTTAGTTTGACAAAACCTGGTGAAATCACTGAATCAGGTTGAATCAGGTCGAATCAGGTTGAATATTTCCGTGTTTCACTTAGAGCCTCGATTTTTCGGGCATTATCTTGCATGGGATTATTTACTGGGAAATCATCCCAATATGGCCTGAATGATTCAGGTTGGTGCATGGCTGGCTAGCGGTATAGATTTTTATCTCTGTACAACCACCGGCTGATATACACAAGAATCCAACATGTTTCATGGATCTCGACGATGTCAGGGTCGAAAAGATGGCCAAAGAACTTAAAGAACTGTTGGCCCTTTGTTGTAAGTCAGTTTTACATGTTATAGGTTCATTTATGGAATTATGGACATAAATGATGATACAATGATATTTCCATTATAATATAATCATTTATCTAATAGAATGGGCTAGCGCCCAGGTGCCGCCGACCCCCCTAATTGGAGGGGGGTACTGTAGAGAGAGAGAGGGAGACGGACAGCAAGACAGACATATGGCCGTTTGCTTCTCAAGCCTGTGGCCTTGTCGTCGCTTTTGCGTGCGGGCGTGGCGCCTGTTGGGGTACCTTTTGCATCGGAGTTGGGCGGACTTTTGGAGGAGTTGGAAGGTTTGGAGGGTTTAACGCCTATATGAAGCCATTGCTGCGGCCGTGGGGTGCCCTTGAGCCATTGCTGTGGCCTTGTGGTGGCTTTTGCGTGCGGGAGTGGCGCGGGTTGGGCTTGTTGGGGTACCTTTTCCTTGCGGAGCTGGCCGGACTTTTGGAGGGTTTGGAGGGTTTTGGAGCGTTTGAGGCCTGGCAAACGGCAGCCTTGAACGCGTATAAGAAGCCATTGCTGCGGCCGTGGGGTGCCCTTGAGCCATTGCTGTGGTTTTGTGGTGGCTTTTGCGTGCGGGAGTGGCGCGTGTTGGGCTTGTTGGGGTACCTTTTCCCTGCGGAGCTGGCCGGACTTTTGGAGGGTTTGGAAGGGTTTGGAGGGTTTGAGGCCTGGCAAACGGCAGCCTTGAACGCGTATAAAAGAAGCCATTGCTGCGGCCGTGGGGTGCTCTTGAGCCATTGCTGTGGCCTTGTGGTGGCTTTTGCGTGCGGGAGTGGCGCGTGTTGGGCTTGTTGGGGTACCTTTTCCTTGCGGGGTACCCCTTTTCCTTGCGGAGCTGGCCGGACTTTTGGAGGGTTTTGGAGGGTTTTGGAGCGTTTGAGGCCTGGCAAACGGCAGCCTTGAACGCGTATAAGAAGCCATTGCTGCGGCCGTGGGGTGCCCTTGAGCCATTGCTGTGGCCTTGTGGTGGCTTTTGCCTGCGGGCGTGGCGCGTGTTGGGCTTGTTGGGGTACCTTTTCCCTGCGGAGCTGGGCGGACTTTTGGAGGGTTTGGAGGGTTTGAGGCCTGGCAAACGGCAGCCTTGAACGCCTATAAGAAGCCATTGCTGCGGCCGGGGGGTGCTGCGGGCGTGGCGCGTGTTTAGCTTGTTGGGGTACCTTTTGCCTGCGGAGTTGGGCGGACTTTTTGGAGGATTTGGAGGGTTTGGAGGGTTTGAGGCCTGGCAAACGGCAGCCTGAAATGCGTATAAGAAGCCATTGCTGCGGCCGTCGGGTGCCCTTGAGCCATTGCTGTGGCCTTGTGGTGGCTTTTGCCTGCGGGCGTGGCGCGTGTTGGGCTTATTGGGGTACCTTTTCCCTGCGGAGCTGGGCAAACTTTTGGAGGGTTTGGAGGGTTTGAGGCCTGGCAAACGGCAGCCTTGAACGCCTATAAGAAGCCATTGCTGCGGCCGGGGGGTGCCCTTCAGCCATTGCTGTGGCCTTGTGGTGGCTTTTGCCTGCGGGCGTGGCGCGTGTTGAGCTTGTTGGGGTACCTTTTCCCTGCGGAGCTGGGCGGACTTTTGGAGCGTTTGGAGCGTTTGAGGCCTGGCAAACGGCAGCCTTGAACGCCTATAAGAGGCCCTTATAGCCATGGCTGCGGCCGGGGGGTGCCCTTCAGTCATTGCTGTGGCCTTGTGGTGGCTTTTGCGTGCGGGAGTGGCGCGTGTTGGGCTTGTTGGGGTACCTTTTCCCTGCGGAGCTGGGCGGACTTTTGGAGGGTTTGGAGGGTTTGGAGGGTTTGGAGCGTTTGAGGCCTGGCAAACGGCAGCCTTGAACGCGTATAAGAAGCCATTGCTGCGGCCGTGGGGTGCCCTTGAGCCATTGCTGTGGCCTTGTGGTGGCTTTTGCGTGCGGCAGTGGCGCGTGTTGGGCTTGTTGGGGTACCTTTTCCCTGCGGAGCTGGCCGGACTTTTGGAGGGTTTGGAGGGTTTTGGAGGGTTTTGGAGCGTTTGAGGCCTGGCAAACGGCAGCCTTGAACGCGTATAAGAAGCCATTGCTGCGGCCGTGGGGTGCTCTTGAGCCATTGCTGTGGCCTTGTGGTGGCTTTTGTGTGCGGGAGTGGCGCGTGTTGGGCTTGTTGGTACCTTAACGAGAGAGGGCTATGTGCGCGGAAAAGTTCCACACCTGCGGTGGTCCCAGGCGCCGCCCCGGCCTTGGCGAAGGCCGGGGTCGGCGGATTTTAATCATTGTACTATCATTTTATAAATCATTTCAATGTCCTCATTAATATCATACATCCACCTTTGCCCCGCCAAAATCTCCAAACATCTCCAGGGATGCCCCTTGCACATCCTTAGCGATCGGTTGCTGCAAATACTCGCTGAACTATGGTATATGCAAGATATATTGATTTGTCTGGAAAGGTTTCCAAGATGTTTTTTCATTTTCCATCCCAAATTATGGATGACCATCCGAATTGACGGATATTTTTGGGTTGGGTTGAAACCGCCAACTAGCTATAGTTACTGTGGGTTTATCAAAGACAACGTTCACATCCGCACCACGTTCCAATCTCCAGGCTCTCCGAGCACGTCCTGTCAGTCGTGGAGCGAGTGGAGCAACAGTTGCGCCCCGAGCTGCAACGGCATCTGCAGCTGATCGAATGGCTGGTGCGGGAGTGGAAGTTCGATGAGGTCACCGAGGATCGCGATGAGCTCCGAAACTTGGCTAATGGAGAAATGGAACAGACCCGGCCTGGTAAACATACAGAAAGCTATGGAAATTGGCCCATAGAAATAGTTGATCTACCTGAATCTAGCTATTATAAATGGTCATTTTCCAGTTCGCAAACTCTTAGTTCACCAGGCCGGGTCTCGTAATTTTTTCATGGGATTCTCATGCCATTTTCGTTGGGTATTTCATGGGACGATCATATGGGAAATCCTGGGTGGAAGATGGTTTGCAGGGTTGATGATATGGGTTTCTCTGAAAATGTTGTGTGCCTAAACCCAATGGTTTTGCTGATCAGTTTCCCTATGAACTGGCTATTTAGTTGGGGGTACCATAGTATCATCTGTGATAATAAGTGATAAAATTGCATCATGGATATATGTAGATATATGGATGCTATGGATGATACTGTAATAATTGATACTCTATGGATGATATCCAGCTACTAACTGATGGTTATTATCATAGATGATATGGATACTCGGATACTATGGATGATACTCAATGGATATTTCACGACATGGTCAGAGTATAGTATCATCATGTATCATCTATGATAAACAAACTGATAAAATTTTGCATCATGGATATATGGATTATCCTTATGATCCTTTTATTTTATGAGGGGTGACGACATGGAGAATCAATGGTTCTTCATGGTCACGACCTGGTCAGGACCTGGAATGAGGCTATGGATTTTGATTCTCTTGGTGGTTGCCTAAGTCATGGATTGTGGATCTCCGTTGGTCACCATGGGTTACCCTCTGGTTATGTCAAAATAGCTATTGAAAATGGCCATTTATAGTGGATTTTCCCATTAAACATGGTGATTTTCCAGTTCGCTATGTTAGTTTACCAGAGGGTAAAACAAATCCTAGCTCATGGTGAAATGTCTCGATGATTTTTCGAGGTCCCCCCCCATGATTTGGGGAAATGTTGTGCACTGCTTGCAGGAAACAAAATGAAGATCTTTGACGACCTCACACCAAGGCACACCTGGACCAAGAGCGTCTTAGCCAGCCATGGCTGATACCCGAAATGGGTGCTATGGTTTCCATCGCGCCGGAGGTCGATTTTTACCATGTTTTCTGACGGTTTACCAGACATTAGGTAAAGAACATGTCTTTGGTTATAGAAGTTTATAGGCAATCAACCATCATTATTGGGTTTACAATGGTTTATGACTTTGGGTTTCAAAGAAGTTTCCATGTGGGATGAACATCAAAGTCATTTTGCTTCAGGTGGGAGGCAAAGGTGTGGCTTGTGGTGGCAGTATCCCACCTGACCATCAAAATCTGTGGGATGGCAGCGGATGGCAGAACCATCTCAGTCAAAATGGGTATGGCCGTATGGCTAACAATTATTAACCATTATTAACCACTATTATCTCAGTAAGTAAGTAAGCTCAAGAAGCATGGCTTCAACTGACCAGTGAGCATGGTTGGATCCCATGGTTTTTCGGAGGCAACTGCAGATGGAGGTGGAACAGGCTTGCGATGTCTTCAAGCGCTTCAATCATCAGCTGGAGGATGGCCAGGTGCTTCAGCTACGGTGAATTTCAAGTAGGCTGTAAGGGTTACCCGGCCTGGTTATGTCTAACATAGCTATTGAAAGTGGCCATTTATAGTGGATTTTCCCATGAAAAATTGTGATTTTCCAAAGCAAACTGTTAGTTTACCAGAGGGTATACGCTTTTCTACACCTGATTTTAGGTGGTGATATGAGTTACATACCTCGTTATTTTTCTGGGGTAGCTACGGTGATTGTCCACTTATTGGCATCATAAATCTCTACCTACAAAGGGATGGCCATCCACATCACTGGTAGATGGTCGGTATGGGAGTGGGAGACGTTCGTACAGTTTTTGTTCCAAACAAGACTCATTTGGTAAACCCATCAATAAGCTTACCATTTGGGGATGGTTGATGCCTTGATGCCCCCACCGTTTATGGTGAGTTTGGGGATGGTTTATTATTGGCTTTACCGCCATTGTGCCGTTTTGAGCATACTTTGAAAAGCGTTCACCAGGCCAGTTTGCAGGGCATGGCAAGATTTGCTAAAATCCTTGAGGGCAAGTCAAACCATTTTTTTTTTCCGCGCGCCACTCACGCGCACACAACCTTCAACCCGGTGTATGCTGACCATCTTTGTTTCTATTGCGTCTTTCTTTGGGTTTCATTGGACAGACTTGAGCCGCACTTTTTAGAAGAGCTTCACTCGTGAATCTGCATTATTTGCTGATCGAAAGGCTTTGTGCAGCAAGGCCCCCAAATTCAGTGCCCTCACAGCCCTGAATTGGTGGAAAATCTGTATGACCCTCCCATTTTAGGGTGTCAAAAGCAGCTGATATCAACCATAAGATTTCTACACAAAACCCATCCACTGACCATAGCCGCCTCCGGCTGAAACTGCTGCGAGGAGACCTTCAATTGGCTGCTGCATTTCCGGCGCAAAGGTTCTTGCCTGGTGATTCCGCTTCTTCAACACTTCGCCCAGGTGGTCAAGCAGAAGTGTCTCGACGAATGGCTGGTGCTACTGCTACATCAATGGCTGCTTGCAACTACTTTTGATGGTGCAGAACACGTCCGTGATACCACATGATTGTTGGGGAACGCAGAATTCTGGTCTCCAATTTTTATCCGTGGTGAAATCCCCAGTGTTTTGGAACGGTGAAACCATGTGAAACCGTTCCCCTGCGCCGTTTCCTGACCGCATGGGCAAGGCGCGGACGCTACCTACCAACCTCAGATGGTGCAGATCTGGAAGATTTGGAACTCCAAGACTTCAGTGAGGCGAGATCCCAATTTTTTCCGTGAGGGAACCCCTTTTTTTCTTGATAACTGGGTATGGGTCAATACCTATAGATGCCATTTTTAGTGGGATGAACATCCATAAATCCCAGCTACGACTTGGGGTTCACTAGGTACCAGGGTTTTGACCCATCCCCAACTAATTGTCCAATGAATATCAATCAATGATATTTTATTTGTCCATGAAAGATGGGGCTTTCACTAGTCCCGAAGTTGGACAAAACACCACGACCAACGGGTGACAATTTTCAATGTGGTCCCACATGTGGCCACCAAGAATCAGCAGGGGAAGATTGATTGGCGGAGAAGTAATGGGAGACTCTTGGATATTTGAGTAAACCAACTGATCTTTTGCTATGTTCACGGGGGAATATCGTCATACCCAAGGAAAACAACAGGATTGTTTTTGCAGGGTAGCTAACCCCATGATGGAAACATTATATATCTCTGCTATAATGTATAAATACAATGCAATACAAACATATAAATGCAATATAATATAGTATAATATAATATGATATACTACTATATAATATAATATAATATAATATGATACAACCAAATATGTTATGTTATGTTATATCATATCATATTATATATATATATATGCAAGCACCAAAGATAAGTGTATAAGTCTTAATTGCTAAAACAATGCTTGGCAAAACCAATGCGAAGTTCAGCATCTTTCAGGTAGCCCAGCTGTGCTACAAGAGCCTGCAGACTCTGGCGGGTCACAACATTGGAGAGGCCGTTCAGGCCGTATGGCTTCGGTGGTGGGGGGTTAATAGATATCTACAGAAAATATCTATGGTAATTGAATGAGATTTATGGAGATTGTAAAGATTTAATGAGATTTATGGAGATTATAATGATTTAATGAGATTTATGGAGATTATAATGGGATTATAGTGGGATTACAATGAGGTAAACACCCTCTGATGATTTCTTAGAGTTTGCGAACTGGAAGCCCTGGCCCATAGAAACAGCTGATGAACATGATGAACCGTTCTAAACATGGTGATTTTCCGCTTCGCTACGTTAAATTGCCAGAGGGTAAACGGGTAAACTTCACGGAACTATCCCCGAATGGCCATATGATAGCAGCCATATGATCATATCGTTGGTGACATACCCACAACAAATATCCAATTTTTGGTGAAGTAGCTCAAACAATCAGCAGATTGAATTCCTGGGTCTGGACAAATTCTCTCATGATCAGTTTTTTTCTGATGTCCGACAGCTTCTGCATCCCATTGAACCAGGATCCCTTTAAAGCTGGGAAGAAGTGAAGTCAACTGACCAATTGCCAACAGGTTTGAGTATTCACTATCTGGTAAGCTAACATGGCCATGGAAAATATGGAAATGGACATTGAGTTCGTTGATTTACCTCTAAGACATTTTCATACATTTTCCCTAGCTATGTTAGTTGACTGGAGGCTAGAAAAAACTGGGTGAAGCTCCAGTTTTGATCCACATCCAAGGCGGATGCAGAGGTTTGGCGGCTGGCAGTGGCGGAGTTCAAGAAGCCCGAAAGCAAGATGCTTGGATGGTTTCAAAGATGTCTGATTGGTGGTTTGGAACATGGCTGGATTATGACTTTCCATATATTGGGAATTTCATCATCCCAACTGACGAACTCATATTTTTCAGATGGGTTCAAAGCACCAACCAGATGTATTGGAGCCATTTCTTTCAGTTTCTTTCTGGTGGACAATTAAGCAGTTTTTCTATGGGAGTGTGGGTCCACTAGTACTTTTTTTCATGGCCATCACCCACAAGGAGCAATTGTATGCAATTGTCGTAGTTTATGAGTTTAACAAAGCAAAGGCATGCAAAGGCTCCCTTTTTTGGACTTCTCATGACTGTGAAGAACATTTTCCGCATGATGTGGCGAAATTATGTCATTCTAAGCGAAATAATGTTTTTGATTACAGTACACATCCCATTAAAATATATCCCGTGCAACATATCACAACATACCTTGAATACCCTACCGTGAATATCCCCAAACTGCCCATAAAATAGTTACCATCTTTTACCGTATCCCCCAAAAACTTTCTTAGGCCAAAATCCTAAAAAAAACACCAACCCCCATAACTTGTTAAAATCCCAGTAACCCTCCATTGTTGGTGAAATCTCAAAAAAAACATGATGACATCCCAGGATGGAGGAAGAGATCGCCCTCATCCTGGACTACTTCAGCGCTGACCGCACCGGCTCCGGGTCGACGTCGACCTCGAGTCTAATCCCCCGACGTCTGGAGCGCTGGCTGGGCCGCGTCACGGAAATCTCGAGTCGTGGGGAGCAACGGCTGATGGAGGCGTTTCGGGCGCATATGGTGGCGCAGAAGCTTGGAAAAACTAAAGGTGCCCGAGTGTAAAGCTAAGTTAGTTTATAACTGGAATATCTGTGGTTTATGATGGTTTATGGTGGTTCGAACTATAGTTAGATTGGGTTAGCAAACTTATCACTGGGACGCACGACTTTGCAGGAAACCATGTTGTTTTTTCAATTTTCCCGTGTTTTTGGTCCCTGAATATTGATGACATGGAGGGGGTCCTGTTTTTTCGAATTTCCTGAACCTCTCCGTTGATCCACCAGACAAGGGGAACTTATTCGGGAAGATCAGAAAAGTAAACACCTACTAAAATTTAGAGGTTTCCTGAAATGGGGGTACCCCATTTCATCATCCATTTTCGATTGGGATTTTCCACTAATAAACTATCCAGCTATTGGTGGTTTCAACGATTTGTTTATTTTCAAGGGATGATGATCCCGACTGTGAGATTTTTCGAAACGAGAGGAGCGTTCACTCACAGTGGTACATATCACTTTAAAAAATCTGTGGCCGGGGGGTGTTACATTTGGGTGTGTCTGAAAATGTCGTGTAAACCCCTAAAGCCAATGGTTTTGCTGATCATTATCCCGTTTTTAAATGGCTATTTCATTGGGAAGATTAACCCTATTTTCAGACAAAGCCATTTAGGTCATTTTCAAGTTGCATGCGTGTCCAAGGATTTTGTGGGACTTTGACACAGAGGAGCTGATGGTTTTGTGGGGAGGATGAGTGATGTTTCTGAGATTGATTGATATCACATATATCATATTCCACTAGATAAGACTCCTCAATATAAATGAATGCACAATGCCCAATTTTATCACTTGGGGGGGTTGTCTCAAATGAGGGCTTCCCCCAAGCTGAAGATCTTGGTGTCTTGATGTGGGATTGAGTGCCTATTTGGGTGCCAAAAGCAGGCAACAACAAGGATCCCACTACAGTGCACTACAGTGACCATAAAACATGGGGACATATGGGGACCGTGTTTTTATTTCTCAACCTTGAGATCTTGGCTCAACTCGATATTTAGACCCACAATTTTGTTGGCCTTGTCGTTGGGCGAAAAAGACGTTGCTTTTCGTGCCGAACTAGCAGTTGTTTTTTAGTGGAACTGCCCTATCAGGCCGTGAGATTGTTGAGACATTGATACACCCAGATTTCTGCGTGGTTGAAATCAACCGCCCCGAATTTGACTTCCATCTTGGCTTTGCATTACCGCTTCGATATCGATATCATCATCCCATCAGAGTTGTAGGTTTCATACGCTACAAGGTGGGGCCCAGCAAGTTCGATAGCTAATTTGGATTATCCTCTGGTAAATTATCAGTTGGACCCTGAAAATAGCCTAGTTTTAATGGAAACTAATCTTCCAACCCTATCTGCCAGGGTCTATGTTAATTTACCAGAGGGTAATATATATATATATTAATATGGTTTATATGCCTATGAACTACATATAGTTTCTGGGATATATATCGTAACTAGATGATTTTTGGTGAATTTGAAGAGCATCAACTCAGTTGGGGGCACCGAACTTAGATGTTGGGACCATCGTGACCGGCTACTTTCCTGTCGTTGGCTGGAAAAAATCCCCGCACGAAGTGGAGGTTTGAATGGGAAAAACAGGAAATATGGGAAAATATGGGAAAAACATGGAAAAAACAGAATAAATGAAGTTTTCTAGCCATGATCTAAATCCTTTAAAATCTATCAGAATCCACTCAAATCCATATTAAATCCATATTACAGTACATAAATCCATATAAAAATCCATATTAAATCCATCAAAATCTACTCAAATATTCATCAAAATGGAAAACAAGTTGGTAAATCCCATGTTTTCCCCATTAAATTATACACGTTCCTCTTCCATCCCCATTGTATCCCATTAAAATTTAGTCATTTTTCAGAAACAAAACGAGGACACTAGCGCTGGCGTCGCCTTGAAGCCTGGGGCGTTGCAGCGGCTGTTGCAGCTGATGCGTTTCTCAGCTATGGTAGATATCTGTGGTAGATATATCTATGCCAAAAATCTGATAAAGTGTGAACATGAATGAAAATGCTGCTATCCAGTCTCTTTACAGTTGATTTACTATAGTTGATTGATTATGATTCATATGATACTCAGCTAAAAAAAGTCAAGGAGCTAGGGTATATGTCCTAATGGGGAGCCAGTTGGAGCTTAGAGTTTCCCAACCATATTTTTTGGGCTAGCTATGGAAAATATCTATGGAAAATCATCTATGCTAGTGGAAAATATCAATGGAACATTTGATTGATCATTGTTTTCCATGATATGTTCTGATCTGAAATAAACATCATGATCTTTATCCATGTTTTAATTTTCCATTCATAAAGTAACATTTTCCATATCTAAACTGGTCTGCACTCATGTAATGCTTCAGTTCTTTGGCGAGTGATGATTTTTTCTGTTCTCATTGTATATATGGATGTGGGTCAAAATGGAAGACCTAGGGGACCACAGATGTTAGTCTAGTGTAGTATTAACCATCCAATTTATTGGGGTACCTAATTTTGACCCATACCCATTTTTTGACAGAGGCACACAGGTGCAACGAAGCAGCGGCCTAGCACTCAAATTCCAGAAAAAAGGCACTCAACCGACACTGAAAGCTATACCGCCGCAAAATCAGGCCCTATATAATCGCCCTGGATTCCTTGATCCATTGCAACGCAGCGCGAAAGGAAGTGCTGGTCAATCTGTCCATCCGTCGTCACTTCTCCGCTTATGCCTGCAAAAGTTGCTTGGGCCATCGCCCCGCAAAAAGCTGGGGGATACTCCTTGAGCTGTGCAGTCCTAAATTGGCCTGTTGCGTCGCGGCCGATGTTAGTGTGCCGAGGGACGTCAGGTGTCAACCTCCACTGAACAATCGCGGCCGGTAGTGTCGGGAGATTCAATGCAATAAGCTCGGTTGGCTTGCTACTGTCGGCGCCTAGAAGGCCCTGGGACAGCTTCAGCCGTCGCATGCCCGGAAGCTGAAAAAGGAGCTGCATGATTGGCAGCTTCCATATGGACGGCGCCTCAGAAGCTTCAGGTTCGGCCGGGTGCTCTACAATGCCGCTGCGAGCTTGAAGAGCAAGTTCACCAAGCGCCAAAATGCAAAAGCCCAGGAGCACGTTGCCATCAAGGATCTGCCGCAGTTCACGCAATGCCAAGGAGGGCAACCCCCAAAGGTGGTCAGCCGAGCGCACTGGCCTGGGCCCTTTGCAAGGATCCTGACCCGGAAGCATAACTCCGCGGGCCTTGGACCAAGTGCAACATGGAGGACCACCCAGAAATGAATGTACCCATCCTGCGCGAATACCTGCGAGCCAATAGTCTTGAACATCTGCTCGACTGAGATCACCATAGTGGCGGTCGATGATAATATCGATCGATACTACGTGCAGCAGTAATCCCGAGGCTTCACTCATGAGCGACTCAAGGTACCATTGGTAGTCACCCAAGCGCCGTCGACCTGCAAAGGCATGAAGAACGATGCGTTCTTTGCCGATAGGGCGTGGTGCATGCAGCGGTGTCCAAGCTTGTTGATGAGGCTCATCAACACAGAGTCGCTGACACCAAAGTTCATAATGAGCAAGCGCTTCATCTGGTTGGAAAGAACGCGTTCTCCGCGTGTGTAGGAAGGGCCAATGTTGGGGATCAAGCAGACAACCCACAATGTCCTTCACCATGGCTCTCTCAACTCCAGTGATCACTTCCATCTCATGGTTGTATTCCTCCTGGAAAACTTGCAGCGTGATCTTACATTGCGTCCAAGAGATGACCGTTGCCTGGATCTGCTTCTCAAAACTCGCCAAAAGCCCTGAACGCGAACCTCCAGCTTCCAAAATTTTTACCCATTCCTCAATCAGCTCTGAGTGCTCCAAATCTCGCGCTCGTAGAGGTCTGTCAGGCATCTTGGGTCCTTGAGCTTGGAGGGGTGGAAGAAGGCCATCGTGTTGACGTTGTTCAGCGCGCTGAGCAAGTGAGCCGATGCCTTCTGTTGGTTCCAGGTTATATCGGCGTGCATTGAGGGAATCACGACAAATCGTGCTCCACTGTAGATGTCGCTGGAGCTTTCCACGGGTGTGGTACTCCTTCAGGCAATGGGGACACTGGGAAGTGTCGCAAAGTCGACGGACTGCCGCAATGACTCCATGCTTTTTGAAGAAATGTGCCCCTTCTCCTCCCTTGCTAGCACAACGCAAACCACAATGCATGCAACCATAATACTGCTCCATGTCAAACGGTTTCTCATAGATGGGTTCAGGTGTGCTCAATTGTCCTTCTTCACAAAGGCGACGAAAGAGCTTCCCATGCAAGTCACTGACGATGTGCTGATTACGTCTCTGGAGCACAGCGTGCGCAATCCCTCTCTTGACCAGCCGTTTCCAGTAGGATGGGTGATTTCGCAAAATGTACTCCCACGCTGGAAAATGGTCTCGTGGGTCTTGGAGACTACTGCAATGACGCAGTTGCTGCCAAAGCCAGACACAATCTTCTTGGAGGAGGTCAAGCCATTCCCTGTCATGCGTGATAATACCCCAATCCGACGGGCTAGCTCCATGATAAAGAGTGCACAAATACCGCAGGCGTGCTCGTCGAAGGAGTTCCGTAGGTGATGGTGCGTCACAGGAGACCAGGATGGCTTCATCTGATTCTGGCTCCTTAACTGACTTCCCACTCAAACGGCTATAAAGCTTCATGATCCCGCTGTGGACATACTCCTTGCTCTGGTAGTCCTGCAGGGTCCAAGACTCGCTCCCGTAGCAAAACCCACTCAAGATGATGGCATCAAAGATCTGACGTCGTTCTGGTCCAGGAATGTGTTTGTTACGGAAGAGCAAGCGTCTGTTCTGCGTAAAGGTCTGGTGTGCAACTGCAAGGCGCTGTTTGGCTTCGAAGCGTTGCGACCCTGTGTGATGAACAACTCCACCAAGGTGTCGATATCGGCCAGTGAGTCGAACCGCGAAGCATTGATGCTCACCAATGACACGCAGTTGTTGATCGCCTTGTGGGCCATGAAGATGCTTCTTCCAGTGTCGTGCTCGATGACCTCGTAGATTGAGCATAAGCTCTGTCTTGCCAGCCTCAACATTGGGAGTCATGGCATGGCTGAGGCAAGTCTCCATCAAGATGTTGATCATGATGCTCAGGCGGTTGATCAAACCATCTGCGGTGGCACTGGATACACAGATTGCTAAGTCGTCCATCCAACATGGCCCCAAATAACTCTGATAGGTGCTGGGTTGATCTTGTTGAGGACTGTGACCAAAAAGTCCACTGCCGGGCTGATCCAGGAAGGTGTCCAAAATGTCATGCTCGACAAGCTGAGCCTCGATCTGTCGAAGGACACGGGCCCAGAGATAGCCAAACACAGTATCGGCAAAGCAGTCGCCTGGACGACTGCCTAGTGTCGTCCGGCAGACATCAGCTTGCCCATGGACGAAGAACCATGTGTCACTGTGCAGGGCTGTGAGGTGATTGCGAACATGACGAGGTAGCTCAGCCTGTGCCACTGCGCAAGGAGCTCGCAAATGCTCATGCAGTTCGGCCATGACACCTGGTCCAAGTCCAAGTCGCTCCGCAAGCGTGGAGATGTCCTGATCACTCCAGGGGCTCTCAAGCGTCAAGGGTCTGAGGACTCTATAAAACGCTTCCTTCAGGTCCAAATACAAGATGCCACATGAGGATTTCCGCGAGCTTTGCACTCTCATGTACGCTC